CTCGCTTCGGCTCCACTCAAAACAAAACCCAGCGGGTTTGCCAAGTGGGGAAAAAAGAGAAAAGCTGGAGGAAACAAACAAACAAAGTCTGCTTTGGTGCCTTTCCCCCGACCCAGGTTTCAATAAGCAAGTGCTTTTTCTAGGCACGCAGATATTTCCGTGGGGAAGGAGCATTTTGCTCCTTGTCTGCATGTCCAGGTCACTGCACAGCACCTAAATGCCTTGGTGGTCTGCACAGCCYGGGATGGGAAACTGCTGTGCCTGCTGCTCCATGAACCCTGCTGACTCACAGGGATGCTAATCATGGCATTTGGTCCTAGTTTTGAGCGTGCTTTCTGGTGGCTTTTGAAATCCCACTCTTTGGAAGGGCTCCCTTACTCATGTCCCATTTTTAATTCATCATCTATTTTGCCAGTCATGAAAAATTGCTCATACTTGGGGCAAAAAGAGTGGAAAATGCAAGTGCATGAGCTCCTCTCCATGCCAGACATGGCACTTCTGGTTCCTGTCCCCATAGGTGCAGAGGAGCTGCTCGAGTGTTGCTGTCCAAGTGTCTGCAGCCAGAGCTGTGAATTCCAGCTGCAAGGGGTGAGCGTGACCCCTGTGGGTCAGGCTGAGTGTGCTCAGGTGTGCCACAGACCTCTCACACTCGGATTTCTCTCTCAGGGAACACCTACATGTTGATCTTGCCCCTGGATCTCGTAGGATCACACAACCATGGAACAGCTCAGGTTGGAAGGGACCTTAAATCCCATSCAGTGCCATGCCCTGCCATGTGCAGGGACACCTTCCACTGTCCCAGGCTGCTCCAGCCTGACCTTGGACACTTCCAGGGATCCAGGGGCAGCCACATCTTCTCTGGGCACTCTGTGCCAGGGCTTCCCCACACTCATCATAAAAGAATTTCTTCCTTATGCCCAGCCTGGTGACTGGTGTGAAGGATGGTCATTCCCTGCCTGTCCAGGTACCTGCTGGGTTTGGTCTGGGCAGGGCTTTCCAGCCAGCCTGGATTCTGTCATRGGCCAGAGCACTCGGGTCTGTTAGGGACTGGTTCCCAGCTGGAGACTCAGAGGGGCTACGCCCTTCAACAAAATGCACTTAAAATAAAGGAATTGCAACAATTATTAAAACTTTTTACTGGGCCAAGATCTGCAGTGTTGGAAACATTAACATTCAGAATATCCACAAACCACATTATAAACTGCCCAGGGGATTTGCTTGTGTTTGATGCAGGAGGAGGGAAAAAATGAAGGTGCCTTGTGCTCATCCATCCTCATGTGCTTTAAAATAAAAACCACCTCTATTACATTGGTTTCCTGAGATAGAATCATAGAATCACTAAGGTTGGAARAGACATTTAAGATCATAAATTCCAACAATTAACCCAGCAYTGCCAAGGCCACCACTAAACAATGTCCCCAAGTGTCACATCCATGCAGCTTTTAAATCCCTCAAGGGATGGTGACTCCACTGCTGCCCTGGGCAGCCTGAGCCAGTTCCTGACTGCCGTTTCCATGAAAAAATTGTTGCAATATCCAACCTAAATCTCCCCTGATGGAACTTGAGGCCGTTTCCCCTTTGTCCTGTCCCTGTTCCCTTGGAGCAGAGCCCGACCCCCCCGGCTGCCCCCTCCTGTCAGGGGGTTGTTCAGAGCCACAAGATCCCCAAGAGCCTCCTTTGCTCCAGGCTGAGCCCCTTTCCCAGCTCCCTCAGCTGCTCCTGGGGCTCCAGCCCCTTCCCCAGCTCCATTCCCTGCCCTGGATACACTCCAGCCCCTCAAGGGTTTTTCTTGTCATGAGAGGCCCAGGACTGTCCCCAATGGATCTGACCAGCCCCAGCACATCCTTTCACAGAGCCTCAGCCTCTTCCATGGGGAGGGCAGTGGAGTTTGCTGGTGTGGGGCTTTATGGCAGTGCAAACTTGATGTCCATATTGCCTCCCTGATGGTCCCAAACACCTCCCATGGCCACAGAGCTGAACTGCTGGGGTGGGTAAAGCACATGCCCCCTGCTTGCAGACAATAGTTAGCAACAAGAACCGATTCTGGTTGGGATAGATTGAGTTTGGCTGCACTGAGACTCTACAGGCAGAGGAGGTGGGATCTCCTCCCTCACCTCCCTGCAGGATGGGACTCTGCCTTGGGTGAGCTGGTGTTGGCTGGTCATCCCCTGAGGGCAGGACATCTGTGGGTGTTGTTTTCAGTTATCACTTGCTCCAGGGAAAAGTTTAGCTCTAGATAAATCAAGACCATTTCACTGAGTCCAGATGACTCATAACCACAGGGCAGGAAACTCTTTTATCTCAAGGGCAGCCAGTTTAATATACATTTGATGTTCACTCCTGAGCACTGAATAATTTCCATCTCTTTACTGCTCATTGAAAGCAAATTAGAGGAGGGAAAATGGAGAAATTTTTCTGTATCTCTGTTTCTGCCACCTCTGAGAGAGCTTCCTCCCAGGTGTGCAGTTTGACTGCACTGGGTCATTTGCTATGTATTTTAATTGGCAGAAAAAAGGGCTTTTGCTCCAAAGCACCACTCCATTTTAAACCCTAATTCTGCAGGCACGGATGGAGCAGGGATCTGTTACAGGAGGGTCTGGTTCAGCCTCCATAGAGAGAAGAGCATTCCATGTGGGAGAGCACGGTTGCCTCCTTGGAAGAAGGGGAATGAGGCATCTTGTTGATGAGCCTGCTGAAAGAGCCACCTTCACCTCTGAGCACCAGCTGGGGGTAGAGAGAGGAGGATTTGGGCAGCAGTGAACTCTTAAACATGAGAGAAAGGGCAAGGTTTTGCTGGAGAACCTCTCGAATCAGTTCTCTTTCCTAAATATGCCAGGCAGCGCTTTGCATCTCAGGCTGTGCCCTCCTGTCTGCGTCCTCGTGCCAGAACAGCTCTGCCTGCTGGGGCCCAGCCGGCTCTGTTCTCATCTCTGTGTGCCAGGGCCAGCAGAGCTGTGCTGCTGCTTCACCCCTGTGCTCAGGGCGATGCTGCACTGCCCTGCAGGAGGCTGGGTGTACTCGGGGTGAGCCCTGGGCAGGAGCAGCCTCTGGAGCTGCCGTCCCTGGAGCTGCTCCCTGCCCGGGATGACACACGGGGTGAGGGCTCCATGCCCAGGGCCAGGCAGCTCCTGGACAGCCCAGGCTGGTTTTTCATCTCTTCCTTGCCTTGCGCAGGTCTCTCCCACCATGGTGATGCCCTCCTGGGTGCTGATCCCTTCCACCCCACCAGAAGCAGCAGGACTCTGCTGCCCAGACCTCGCCCACTCCCACGTGGCTGCTCAGTGGTATTTTGCCACCTGAAGTGATAAAACACTTGTCTGCTTTTGCAAATGAACCTTTGGTTGGTGTGGTTGGTGCTTGGTGTCTGATCCACGAAGCCCTGTGTTCAGACAATGTCCATTCCTGGAGAAACCCAAGGCAGCAACTTGACACCGTGGCTTGGGCCAACTGGAGACCTCTTAAATCCACAGGCTGAAGCTGGTGAGGTGAATGATTGCCAGGAGCCAACCCCCACAACATTTTCCACCCTAAATATTACAGTAATAAAAGGTAAAATCATTAAGGTCCTTCTGCAGCCCACTGTGCCTTGTCTGAAAAGAGGACGAGGAGGAGCACAGAGCAACGTTGTTATTAATATCCTGTCTCCTGATGATGGCTTTATAAACATCCTCACCRCAGGCAGAGCCTCGCTGGAGTGATTTGGCATGACCTTCAGCCAAATGCCACGCTTTTATCACTCTTGATATTTAACCAATAAAGCAGGGAAGACCTTGCCCCTAAATATCTGACCTTATACACAGGGGATTGGAGTAGAAACTGAGAAAAACTGTGTGAAGTGTGGTCACGCTAAACCCTCATTAGAGCTGGTGCTCCTCTCTGGGAACTGTGCCAGGGCTCTGGCAAGAAGGGGATCAGATGTCTGACACAGTGGAAACCCTCTGTGCTGTACGGGATGACTCACGGGAAAATGCCCCACACAGCAACGAGGCCACGCTCACACCAAAGCTGGGGATTTTGCCTGGTGGGATGGAGTCTTGATGGAGACAGGGGATCCTGGCTGCAGGGAGAGGGACAGCTCCCACTCTGGGGAGCCCCGAAAAGACACCAACTTTCACTGGGTCTTGTAGATWTTGAAAGTAAGAACTAAGATCATGTCCCAATGGCAGGGCATTGGAACTAGATGATCTTCAAGGTCCCTTCCAACCCAAACCAGTCTATGATTCTGTAATTGGAGAGGAGAAAAGGTTTTGTGGGTTGATGGATGGAGAAGTGAGGAGAAGTTGTGAAGCCTGGATCTCTCTGTGAGCAGGAGTCTGGGGGCACTGATCTCCATCAGCACCTGGCATGTCATCAGAAATTAACTTTTGTCTGTTTGCCRCTCCCACTTCACTTCCAGTGGGGAATAACAACCCTGAGAAAAGTCATGTACAAAAAAGGGCTGAGGGGTGGTGACAAATGCAAGACACAGGTTCCTGTGGACRGGGGAGTGTGGAGGGGGTGCACGATGCCATCCCAAGCCAACGGGATGGACAGCACTCATCCAGCACAGGGCTGGGGGCTGCCTCTGCTGCTGAGGAGGTCTGGCATCCCTGGATGGGGCAGCCCATCTCTGTAGGAGCTGGGTGGAGGAAGGAGGCCGGGCATGTGGAGAGCTTGCCCTGGGGAGATGGACCCAGAGCAGTTGCAGAGCTGAGCAAAYTCAGGTTGCTTTGGGCATCCCAGCTTGGGACTGGAAGGAAATGTCTTACCTGCAGRGATCATAGGAGCCCCTTGGCACCTCTGCAGGGCCTGCAGCAGTGGTGGGGAGGAGGAACAGATGTGCCTTCGCTGGTAACAGATGGATGGGGGCATTGCTGGCACCAGCACCCACCTGGAAGCCACTCACATCGGTGCTGCCCAGGGGTGCTCTGGCTCTCCCGATTCCTGTCTTGCTCCTGACACTACAGATGTGCCTCTGCTTTTCTGGCACATCCTCCATGCCACTTTTCCCTCCCGGCTTTTTCCCAGGTCATCCTCCCCTAAAATGACGCAGCAGATGCGGGACCTGCAGCTGGCACAGGCCAGGAAGCCACCGGGCCCTTCCTCACCAAACGCTGCCAAGAGGCTCTACCGAAACCTGTCAGGGAAATTCCGTGTCAACTACACCTCCTTCGACGAGGGCAGCCTGGTGGGGCGGGGAGAGAAGGAGAAGCTCCGCAAATCCTACCTGGTCAGTGTCTGCCAGCTCCATCCAGGTGGAGCAGAGGGTTCCTGGGGGATGAGGGTCTGTGTGGGTGATGCTGGGACCTGGGTGGGAGCACAAGAGTGTGTTCAGTGAAGCCRGAGCACACTCAAAGCTGGATCTGGTCCAGGTGTTTGTTTGGCATCATCCAGATGTGCCTGCAAAGAGCTGATGCTCTCAAGGCCCCGGAACCAGGGCACCCTCTCTTGGACTGGGTTCATTGGGTGCTGCTGAGGGGACAGGGTGTCTGTTGGGATGGAGGAGGGTGCCTTGTGCTCAGCCCACTTGTATTTCTCCTTTCACCCAGTTCCAGAGCAATGCTGCCCTCTTTGAGGCCGTGGAGCTGCAGGACCTTGACAGGGTGCAGGAGCTGCTGAAGCAGTACAGCCCTGAAGAGCTGGACCTCAACACCCCCAACAGTGAGGGGCTCCTGCCCCTSGACATTGCCATCATGACCAACAATGCTCCCATTGCCAGGGCCCTGCTGCAGGCAGGAGCCAAGGAGAGTCCACACTGTGAGTTGGGACCGGGAGCTGTGCTCTTCCCATCTCCTGGCTCTCCAGCCTGGTGGAGCAGGGCACCACAGGCCTTGGGTGTGGGTGGGGAGGTGATCACTGGGCTGTGGGAGACTTGTGCAGGCTGCAGCGGGGCTCCATCGGAGCCGTGCATCCAAGCRGAGCCCAGGACTGGGACAAGGTGGGGAAGATGGGGGTTCAGCGTGGGGGATTCATGGCCAGGAGAGCCAGAGCCTGCCCTAACCASCTTCTCTTCCCTCCCCTCCTGGGCCCCATGGGCATGCCCACCCGCCCCACAGTCGTGAGCCTGGAGAGCCGCTCGCTGCACCTGTCCACGCTGGTGCGGGAGGCAGAGCAGCGCGTCAATGAGCTGATGGCGCAGGTGGTGAACGAGGCGCCCAACGCCGACTGCTCCGAGAAGGAGAAGCAGCTCAAGGCCTGGGAGTGGCGGTTCCGGCTTTACAAGCGCATGAAGGCAGGGTTTGAGCATGCCCGTGAGTGACTGCAGGAGGGCTGGGGGSTGTCCTTGCTCCAGGGGACAGAGCGGGGCCATGTGTGGCACCAGCACCCGTCACAGGAGCTCTGCTACCTTGTGGCCAGTGCTTGCACTGTGGGTGCGTGGAGGGGAGAACATGTTCCACTTGGGAACCAGGGAGGGGTCCAAGAGGGGCCCACGGGGGTTCAGAGTGACTGTCCTTGCTGTAGCAGCCCCTGCACTCTCTGTCCCCAGGAGTGCCAGATGCCCCCAGCAGTGTCCACCTCTCTGTGGCCAGCAGCTCCTCACTGCAGGTGACTTTCTGGGAGCCCTTGAGTGTCAACTCGGCCGTTGTCACCAAGTACAAAGGTAAGGACTGGGGTTCCTGCAGCAGGTGGGGTCACACAGTCACAGCAGGTGCCTGGAACCCCTTGCACTCCATGTCACCACACCACATGGGCAGTGCTGCCATGCCCCAGCCAGGCCACATTTGTGCTGGAGCACAGAAGAAGCCAGGACTGCCAGACAGCCACCCCCCAAATGCTCTGARCTGGACCAAACATTCTGCACCAAGGCAAAACTTGGGCTGCCACTTGTTTGCTGCCCCCTCATCCTGCACATTGGGACGACTTTGCAATCCTGCACCCCTCACCCCTTAAACCAGATGTTTTGGGCTTCTGGAGGAATTTCTTCCATGCCCCACTTCTGAACCACTAATTAAAGGTGCCGACCCTATCTGATGTGGCTCGGTGAGGGCAGCAGCTCCCCCTGACATTCCTCCCACTAGGAATCCCCCTTTTCTCTGCCTTTATTCTGCTGCATCCAGTCCCCCTGCAGCAGCTGTCTGTGTCGTGCTGCCCCAGCCCTGGTGGCCTGTCCCCATTCCAGGGCCACATGGCACCTCAGGGTCTCTCTCCTTACAGTGGAGTGGAGCTGCTCCCCCACGTTCTCGCCGCTGCTGGGAGAAGCTGTGATCGACAAGCTGAAGGACCTGCACTTCACCATCCAGGGACTGGTGTCGGTGAGCCACGGGGTGCTGGGGGGCTGCGTGTGGTGAGCCCGCAGCAGGGAAAAGCCACAGGCCATGGTGCAGCCCATGGGGAGGGGATCAGGCGCTGGCCCAGGCTGCCCAGGGCAGCAGWAGAGTCATCATGCCTGCAGATTTTCATAACACATGCATTTGGCATTTGGAGACATGGTTTAGTGGTGACAGTGGTTGGACTCGGTGATCTTAGACGCATTTTCCAACCTTAATGGATTCTTTCTTTCTACAATCATTCTGAGCAGGAACAATGGGATGTGCCATGCTGCGTGACATGGGCACAGCCTGGGCAGAGCCCAGAGCGTGGGGCTGGGAGAGGCATCCGTGTGTCCYSGCACRGCCRCAGCCTCTGACAGCAGGGAACCTCRCAGACAGGGTGCCTGGGSACTCTGCAGTGACAGGCAGAACAGGCCCATTCACGCGGTGCTTGATTTATCCTCTGTGCCCCACCCTGCTCCCAGCTCCACCCAGGCTCTTCCTGGGCAATCAGTCAGTGGCTGTTCCTCTGCCACCTGCATAGTCCAGCCCTTCTCAGCACCCGATGTCACTGACGGGGGACAGCCCCATCTCCATCTCCAGGAGCTTGGCAAGGTCACGGCTGGTGGGACTGTGGCTYCCTGCTGTTTTATCTCCTTGAGAACCGCAGGAGCCAGGCTGCCTATCAGCTGTCCCCTGGGCCAGCACCGGCGACGCAGGGACTGCAATGGGATGGAGCTCAGGATGGGAGCACAGGGAGATGCTGGGATTAGTGGGGTCACCCGTGCCAGGGGTAGGCAGGCAGGGAGCACTGACTCGAGGAGCAGAGAGCAAGCACCCTTGAGGTGAGAGGGGATGGCACAGCAGCAATGGCGAGCTCAGGAGCACTGTCAGGGCAGGAGCTGCCCTTGGTGCGGCAGGAGGGGTTCAAACGGAGCCTGGAGCAGCATTGCTGCCAGGAGCTGCTCCAAGCCCATCRATCACACTCTCAGAGCTGCTTCACGGGCTCCGGTCGCCTTCACAAGTGCCTGGAGGCCTGGCTACATCTGGCGGCTTGACTGGGCTTTAATCAGATGCTTTAATCACTGTCACTGTGCCATAAGCCTTTGACAGTGCTGGGCCAGCTCCCTGTCTCCAGAGGCTGGATTCTTACATGTCCCAGGGGATTGGCAGMACCCCAACCTACAGAAGCACTGAGTCTTTGGGGCTGCTCCCTCTCTGGCAGGGGGCATTTACAATGCCCAGTCCTTCCTCTGCATCCCCAAACCCATCCAGGGCCACAGGGATTCTCTGGTGTCTGATAGCAAGGGCTTTGCACAGATGGGGGTGTAGGAGCCAGTGACTGGGCTGTGGGCTCCCAGTTCYGTGCTCCTGGTGGTGTCATGGTGCAGTGGGCGTGGGGAGCCCTCCTTGCCTCACTGGGCTGTGCTGAGTGTGCTGCTCTCCTTGCAGGGCGTGGCGTACCACGTCCGTGTGTCTGCCTACAACATGAAGGGCTGGGGTCCCCCGCAAGCCTCGGTGCCCCCCTCTGCCATCCCTTCCAGTGAGTACCCACGGGAACCCTCCCATGGGAGCCAGCACAGGGTGGGGGGGGATGGGGCAGCTCCTTCAGGGATCCCTCTCAACTGCTGGGATGGGAGTGAGAGGGATGGACCCAGGGGCAGAGGCAGAATTTGGGGTCTCAGGCCTGGCAGGGAAGCTGTGCCTGGAGGTCTMCAGCCAACAGGTGCTTTTTCCAAATAGCAATTTTTCAGCCTTGAATTCTCCCTGCCATGCAGGAAAGGCTGAGCCATTTCAGGCCACCTGGATCAGCTCATCCCAAGGAGGAAGCCAGGAGGTGGCTAAGGGCCAGGACTCGGAGTGTCCCAGTCCTGGGTGGCAGTGGGTTCCCACTTGGTGCCACCACACAGTCTCCCATCCAGCCCAGACCCAAGGWCCTGCATTCGCTGGCATCAAGCTGGGATGGGAGTCACAAGCCCCAACAGAGACCAGCTCTGGGCTTGTCAGCACTGTCTTCCCCATGCTGGCCCCAGGAAAAGTGTCAGCAGCTMCCCAATGTCACACAAAGCACCCCAAGGTGCTGGGTGGAGAAGGGCCAGGRGAACTGACCTGGAAAGGAGCAGCCCAAAGCATGAAGTTCAGGGCTGAGTGTGTTCCAGAATGGCCTCTGCCACTTGTCACCAGTCCCAAAACAGGTCCCTGTGTGGTGTCCCATGCGATTAGTGCTGTGAATGAGTAAGGAGYAGCCCCATGGGAGGCTGAGCTTGTCCCAGGGATCAGGCCATGGATGCACACCCCGTACCACCACGGTGCAGCCATCCAGGGCACCAGGGACAGGTGGAGGTGAGCAGTGATGGGTCAGCCATGTGCAGCATCTTGCACAGCTCTGGCTGCAGATCCACAGAGCACTGAAATCATCAAAAATCCATTTGCATGCTAGGAAAGCACATGGCAAGGGCACAGAACTGCACTGCCCTGGCTTTATCATGTCCCTGTCATGTTTGCACCCAATTTAAAGCCCATTTGCCACCTCATGCAGGTCACATTCCCTGTGACCGAGATCCAGGTGGTATTAATTGAGTGTGGCTGAAGTGAATCAGACAGGAGTGGGGTTTATTTATTTTTATCGCCACTAATATTTCTCCCTTCAGCAGAGATCCTGCCCTGGCCCAGCAGAATATAGTCAGGCACCTCCCTGGGTGTTTTTAAAGCTACTAAAAATAGCGTCAAGTTCCAGCCAAAGTTAACAGAGCTGAACTTTCCATGGAAAACAGCAGTGGGCAGGACACAGGGGGTGTTTAAAGCAATCAATACAAAGTTGAGGGAGAAGAGCCGGCAGGTCCCCAGCCCTGCAGCCCTGCTCATGGTCCTGCTGCCGTCCCGCAGTGGGTGGAGCTGGCTGCAGTTTATTTATGTGTTTGCCGAGGTGAGCCCAGCTCCCAGTGCTCATCCGGACTGACTGGGGAAGACCTGGAGGAAGACACTGGAAAGAATTTTATTTTTTAAGGCCAGTGAATGTGGCAGCAACAGACAGAACCTTGTTCCTTCCCTCTGCTGTGTCCCTGCCATGCTGTGGGGAGGCCAGTGGCCTCAGGGTGCTGAGCAGAGCTGGGTGTTCCTGGGAAGACTGGCACAAAATGGGGAATCTCCCAATGCCCAGCACACCCAGAGGTGCCCAGCACCCTCAAATGCTGCCRTGCTGTGGCATGGGGGGACACCCAGATGATGTGGGAGGAGGGGATGGGAACCCCTTTCCCCCATGCCAAGGGGTGCAGGGTGATGCTGCTCTGTCCCCACAGACTGGCGGGAGTACGATGGCCGGGCCCCACGGCGCAGGGGACAGGCTGAAGCTCTGGACCATCTGCTGGGCCAGGTGAAGACCGTCCACCAGCACTGCGTGTGCCACGGTGAGTCCATGGATCAGTGCTCCAGAGAGGCTGGGCTGGGGGGTCCAGCTGAGTCCTCCAGGGTTGTGGTGGGATCCACAGGGCCGGGGTGGTGCCAGGAATAGGGCAGTGCCACGGATGAGCGATGCAGGGAGACAGCTCGGGCAGTGGGACCTCAGCAGACCCTTCCCAATGGGTTGGCGTCAGCACTTCATCTGCTGCTGCAGCATCCTCTGCTCTCTGCTCCACAGAGCCCTGCAAGAACCAACCCCAGAGCAGAAAGCACTCAGTCTCCAAGAGCCTCAAGCACCTCTTCCATCCTGGCAGCAAGTTTCTCAAGACGCTGAAGCGGTGAGAGGCTGGTACACGGGGTGCAGAGCCACCCGTCCCAGAGCTGTGCCTCAGACTGGGGGCTGGGGGTGCCCAGAGTGGGGTCAGCACCTGCAGCAAGCTGCTGGTGGCAGTGGAGGTGGGTCCCATGGCTCAAAGGTTCTCTTGGTGTCTCCATTCGGACTGGCCAAACTGTGCTGGTGCCCAGATTCCTGAACCACCTCTGAGGGTCACCTGGCACCCCAGCTCATCCAGACCCAGAGTGTCCCCTGTGCAGGGGGTYATTGGCCATGGTCTCTGCTGTGCCAGGCCGGGTTCCTCTTCCTGCTCCCATACCAGCCACAAACCTCTCTGCCACGGGCTGTTGGAGACAAGKGGACACCTGGGCCAGGGCATCTCGTGTCCCCTCAGGAGAAAGACCCTTTGGGAGATGGAGCTGGCAGCTGGGAGTGATCCTGAAGTCTGTCTTTCCCCCCATGCAGGGGCCTCTATCTGGCAGCCATCTTCTATAAGGACGACAAYATCCTGGTGACCCACGAAGACCAGATCCCCGTGGTGGAGATTGATGACACCTACTCCTGCCTGCTCATGCAGGATTTCCTCTGGTTCACCAAGGTGGGTGGCCCAGGGACCCTGTGCCAGGGCAGAGAGCCCAGAGGGCCAGGGTGACACAGGCACCAGCACTGCCCCTTCAGCCTGRGGCTTGGCAGGACAGGCAGCCCGTGGATTACCTGTTTGCTGGGGTTCAGCATGGACCAGGAAACTTCCAAGGAATGGCACTTCATCCTAGGCCCTGGAAGCCCAAAGATAGGTGACAGAGTGGTGCCACACTGGCAGGCTGTGTGCCAGGACAGGTGGCACTGCCTCTCCACAGGATGTCAGTGGACTGCTTCCCCTCAGCATCCTGCCACGGCACCTTCCCCTGCTGTGGGATGCACAGGGAGCTGCTGCCAGCTCCTCTACCGTCAGCAGGCTTAGCGAGAGGGCATGTGGGCAGCTCAGGGCCAAAGTAGTTTGCTGGGTAGTCCTTAACTACTGATGGAGAGTGCTTTCTTCTCCCTCCCCACCTTGGCTACTTTTATTCAAACTCRAGGTTTCAGTCCTAGATAAAGATGGATGTCTGAGTGGACATTTCATGGGCCCCAGAGGCATCTCAGGGTGCCCGTGGCACAGGGATTTATTGGCACCACTACTGAGATATTTTCCCAAGCACATTCCTAACCCAGCTCAAACAGAGATGCAGASAGATGTCCCCAAAACCCCCTAGTGTGACCCGGCTGCAGCAGCGGTGACACCCTTTGGGGATGTCCCCAAAACCCCTCGGTATGACCCAGCTGCAGCAGCGGTGACACCCTTTGGGGATGTTCCCAAAACCCCTCGGTATGACCCAGCTGCAGCAGCGGTGACACCCTTTGGGGATGTCCCCAAAACCCCTCGGTATGACCCAGCTGCAGCAGCGGTGACACCCTTTGGGGATGTCCCCAAAACCCCTCGGTATGACCCAGCTGCAGCAGCGGTGACACCCTTTGGGGATGTCCCCAAAACCCCTCGGTATGATCCAGCTGCAGCAGCAGTGACACCCTTTTGGTGTGTGCAGGTGTCATGCATGTGGGACGAGATCCTGTGGCTGCGGCAGTGTGTCACCGTGTCCCAGTCCTCCTGCTCCTGCATCCTGCAGACACGCTTCAAGATGCTGCTGGCCATCTCGCAGATGCAGGTGAGAGTCAGCCTAGCTGGGGGAGGGACACTGGGGGCTTGGCTCCCTTGGGAGCAGCACACGGATGYGTCACAGACAGGACAAGCCCAGGATCTGCCAGCCACAGTCCATGGCAGAACTCTGGCCATGGGACAGTGAGGTGCCAGGTGTCATGGTAGTCTCATGCCAGGGGGCTGGGGACCATCAGGGTGCTTTGATGGCCAGACTGGTTTCCAGCAGGCAGCTGCAGACACATCCCAGCTGCCCAGACCCACTGTGCTTCAGGATGTCCCCTGACCCTCTGCTTTCCCCTTTCCTCCCACCCCATCACACAGGGGCTGCTGGGCATCCAGGACCTGGGGCAGGTCTTCTTCGAGCCTGTCAAAGACAAACAGGGCAACATCCTSATCGTCACCCTGAAGGAGGTGAAGACCAACCAGACCTTCGAGAGTGTCCGCTGGGTTCCCATTTGCAAGCTGCAGAGCAGCCGCAAGTCTGTGTCCTCGCCGGAGGAGCCCAGCGCTCTGGACATGCTGCTCATCTCCATCCAGGTGTGTGTTGGGATTGCAGGGGGCTCCCCTGGCACCACCAGTGCTCCCTGCTCCCCCTCGGCCTGGAAAWGTCATGGCAGAGCCACCAGGGGTTCAGTCCTGGCTGCAGACAGAGGGGGAACAGAGCCCAGCCTGCCCCCACAAACACAGTTGTTTCAAGGGGAAGGCATCAGGTTGGTGCCAGGTTCACCCYGGCAGCATAGGCCTGTCTTGCTGTGCCCTCCCCTTCTCCAGCTGGGCTGGCTGTGCCACGGCATCAGCATGAGCCCAGCAGTGCCTCTGTCCCCAGGACAAGCTGTCTTACCACCAGCAGAGCAGCCGAGCCCTCTCCCCAGGCCTCTACCTGGGCTACCTGAAGCTGTGCAGCGCCGTGGATCAGATCCGAGTGCTGGTGCCAGAGCGACGCCCCAACATCCTGTGCCACGTCAAGATTCGCTCCAACCCCAACATCTCCAGGTGGGATTTGTGGGGCTGCTCAGCTGGCTGCTCTGTCCCACCCAGCCTAACAGCAACACCCATCACCTCCTGCTTCAGCAGCAGTGTCAAATTCCCTCTTATCCCTACCATGACACGCACTCAAGCACAGGGTGGGATTGTTGGGGTGTCCTGTTGGGGTCAGGAGTTGAACTCGACAGTCCTTATGGGTCCCATCCAGCTTGGGATATTCTGTGATTCTGATTCAGCCTGGAGCAAACCAAGTTCCCTCTCTGCCTCCACTTCTCCCACATCTCTGGGGACGCTGCACTACCTGGGAGAGGAACAGCCATGCAAGCACAGCTGTCATAGCAATTGTGTCCAGGTCCACCCAAGTTGCTCCCTCCTTCACCTGTCTATCTCTGGCCTTCCCAGGGAGGAGTGGGAGTGGCTGCAGAAGATGACCAGTGTGGAGGAGCCTGTTCCCACAGAGCCAGAGGCTGACACGTCCCAGAATCCCTTGTTTCAGCAGCTCCAAGTGGCCATCAAGGAGCTGATGACCCTGGTGAACATCCCGTTGCAAGAGGTAGAGGCAGTAGCCAAGGTGTGAGGCAGAGGGAGGGGACGGGGCTGTGAGCATGGTGCTGGTGRCTGCAGCGGGCAGGGAATTGYGGCCCCASGCCCTCCTTGGAGGCTGGAGCACCCWGGAGATTTTAGTCCTGGCAAACAGAAGGGGAGTGGTGGATCTGCTTGTTTAGGGGCAGTGCCCACTGGAACTGTTTGTCCTCAGTCAATGTACCCCCAAAGCAGGGATGGTGAATCTGGGTTTACTACTGCTGCCACATGGTTTGGTCCTGAGCAGCATGAGACCAGCTCACTGTGCCCCTCTAAAGCAGGCTGGTCCCTGGCCAGTGCTGGGCTGGAGCTGCAGCACCTGGTGCCAGACTGCACGGGGAGAAACCCTCCTCCATCATGCTAGCTATGGGCTGGGAAGGAACCCACCAGTGCCAGGCATGTGCTTGTGGCCGGGAAGCTGGGAGGGAACCTCCCTGCACATCACTGTGCCATTGCTGGTGGCACTTCTCTGACACCCTCCATGGTGACTTTCACCAGAAGTTTGGAGACTTCTGGGGAGAAATTAAAGAAGTGACAGTTACCTGCACTGTCTTCTTGCAGGCCAAAGATTTCCGTCTGTACAGCCAAGAGGTGTTGGACTTTGGGGATCAGGTCTCCTTCCTGCTGCTGCTGCCTCCATCAGATGACGTCTGCACAGCTCCAGGCCAGAACAACCCCTACACCCCTCACTCCGGCTTCCTCACGCTGCCRCTGCAGATCTTCGAGCTCGGTGAGGAGAGGGAATGCCAAAACACAACCCTGCTGGTCCCCTTGTCCCCTGAGGCCTCCTGAGAGCTGGGCTGAGCAGTGGGATGAGCTGGAGTTCCCTGGAGGGGAGGGATGGAGGGGTGTACTGAGGGCTGTCTGGGTAGACTTGTGGACAGTGTTGTCTCCTCTTTGTGTTGGGAGATAGGAGGAACCTGTGGGCTCCCACATCAAGGCACCTGATGTTTTTCATCCCCCCCTCTTGTTTGCTCTCCAGTCCACTTCTTCACGTACGACCGGGAGTTCATCACTCAGTACTGCCAGGTGTCTGCCCTGCTGGAGCTGGAGTCACTCCTGTCCCAGCAGAGCCTCAGGGAGGCTTTCTCAGATGCCGAGCTCTCCACAGCCAAGCAGAGGCACCAGCAGGTTCAGGACTACATCCAGGTACAGGGTGGGAGCCACACTCCACAGTGCCCTRACCTGCCAGGATAGGCTGCCAGCAGCGTCTGCACCAGGGTTGCTCCCTGTTCTTGGTGCCCCAGGGGGTTTCTCTGATGTGGCTGCTGGGCAGCAGCAGGCTGGGCTTTTAGAAATTTGGGTTGGAACAGACACTGAAGCTCACCCAGTTCCACCTTCCGCCATCCCAGGTTGCTCCAAGTCCCATCCAGCCTGGCCTTGGACACTGCCAGGGATCCAGGGGCAGCCACAGCTTCTCTGGGCACCCTGTGCCAGGGCCTCCCCAACCTCACAAGGAACAATTCCTTCCCAATATCCCATCCATCCCTGCCCTCTGGCAGTGGGAAGCCATTCCCTGTGTCCTGTCCCTSCAKCCCTWGTCCCCAGTCCYTCTCCAGCTCTCCTGAAGCACCCTCAGGCACTGGAAAGGGCTCTGAGGTCTCTCTGGAGCATTCTCTTCTCCAGGCTGCCGTTGCTTTATCTAGCAACTTCTTACTGCAGTGCTGACAATAAAAATCCCAATGAGAGAGACGAAGACTYCTGCTCTGCACATCCCCTCCCTGCTAGAAAGGGGCCTGCAAGTGCATTTTGGGATGGACTTAGAACATAGCATCCTACACTACTCCTGTCCCCAGCACTCCTGCCTGAGAGCATTTTCCTGKCATTTCCCGGCTCAGGGATTCCCCCAGAGCTCTTGGGAGAGGTGTATGTAAAAAGCCCCTGTTCTGCCGTGGGGCTTTCCTGTTGCTGTCGTTTGCCGTGTGACAGGGCTCCTCCGTTTCCTCTGTTGGCAGCAAATGGAGGAGATCTGGCGAGAGATGCGCTGGATCATGGATGCCCTGCAGCACGCCCGCTACAAGCAGCCCTCCTGTGGGGTCTCTCTCAGCGGCTTCRTCAGCGAGGCGGCGGGGGCAGCGAAGGAGAAAACCCGATCCTCCTCGTCCCACCTCGAGTACCTTCCGTCRCCGGTGCCCTCGCCAGAGACCAGCCGCAAGCTCAACTCGGGTAAGGAGCCGGTTGTGCCCAGCTGGGGCGGGTCCGGGCCGCTGGCGCTCGGTCGGTCGGGGTGGCTGTCCCCGAGCTGGCACTGCGGGCAGGGCAGTGGGGCTCAGCCCGGGCACGACCCGCTCCGCCTGTGCCGCAGCAAGCGCAGCTCAGGGGTGCGACAAGAGGGCAAACCTCGGGCTCGGGCTGAGCCCCTCTCTGCCTCTCTCACCCTCGCAGACTCGCACGGGCTGTCGGATGAGGAAGGCTCYTCCGAGGTGTTCCTGGCCACCGACAGCGACTACGACTCGAGCCGGGCGCAGAGCCCGAAGGAGCTCGACCTGGTGTACTCCTCATCGGGGCCTGAGTGCTGCAGCCGGAGGGTCGCCCGTACCCTGCGTGACAGCGCCCCGGATGTCCTGCAGAGCCACGAGCTCAAGAGCCCAACCCCGCTGCCGCCACCGCCGGAGCAGCCCCAGCCGCCGCCAGAGCTTTACGACAGCGACTTTGTCCTGCCCAGCCGGCAGATTGAGCTGCTGCGCATCACGGAGAAGCGACAGGCATACTGCGTCCGGACCAGCAGCCTGGACTTCCCCAAGGCCCACTGCCCCTCCCCGAGAAAGTCGTGTCCCGGCTCTGTGGACAGCTCCCCGACGCAGAGCAGGACYGCGAGCCACTGTGGCCAGCTCAGACTGGCGGCTGGCTCCACACCCAGCCCCGAGCACCAGCGGGGTGGGCAGGGTTCTGAGCTSGTCTGCCGGACACGCTTGGATGAGTGGACTCAGAACTTGCTGGAGCAGGAGCCAGAGCAGCCCGGGGACTTGGCCGACCAAGGGAAGAAGCTGGGCTCTGTCACCTTGCAGGTCTGCCCTCAGTACGAAACGGGACTCTCCAAAGAGACCAGTGTCAAGGTACCGGAGCCTGCACCGGCTGGCCGAGCGGCTGTGCCGTGCCCAGAGGGACAGGGCTGGCAGGATGGGGATGTGGGCATCAGGGTTCCTGTGCCCCACTCCTGGCACTGCCCTCCCCATCCTCCACTGTCCCAGGGGTGAGGTTCCCTGGAGACCTACAGCACTGCTGCCTTGAATCCCTCTGTCCCTGCTGTAGGGATGAGGCTCCAGCAGTATGGGGCCTCTCCACAGTAGTGGTGGCCACTGTCACAGAAGTGCCACACGTAGTGGGTTTTGGGTACAAGGCGCTGGGGCTGAAGTTCATCTTTTGGTGTGTGCTTCAGCAGGTGACAGTAGGTTGGTGCCAGGCAGAGCAAAGGACACACTGASGGGTTTCCCTTGCTGTATCCTGTTGTTCAAACACACCATCCTCCCTGGCCAAAGTTCAGCCATCACCTCCTGCCCTGGCCATGCTCCTCCTACAGCCACCCCTTCCCAGGTCTGTGTTCCCTTCTCCACCCTTCTCCAGTTAGAGAAGGGAGAGCAGGAGCCTTTTGTCTCCAGCCCRTGGCAATTCCAGTGGCAGAACACACTCCAGTTCCATCTGGGGGAGCAGGCAGAGCTCCTTCCATGCTGCAGGCGTTGGGCTCTGCTGTGAGCTGCTGTTGAGCAGCTGTGTGTTCTGACTCCTCTCCATGAGGGCTTTGCTGTTGAGAGCTGACCCTCCCAGCTCTGTTCACTCACACCTGCTACACACTGGACATCCCCCATGGAGGACATCCCCCAACATGCGCATACTGGGCAGGTCCCCCTCTGGCTTTGTGGCCTCCTTTGGTCCCGTCCATTGAGATCCTTCCCCTGTAGAAATTTCCCTTCTGAGACATTCCTGGTGCCCAGGACTGAAGATGATGGAGCAGAAAATCATTAAATTGTGGACTGGTTTGGGTTGAAAGTGACCCTGAAGGAATGGCAGAGTAAGAACAAAGCCAACAGGCTGATGGGTTTATTGCTGGGGAAGTTTGATAGCCGGTGTCTCTGCATGCAGTGGAGACATCCTAGCAGATAGGACTCTGCCTTTCAGGATTGTTTTCCATTTGAGGAATGCCCATAGATTTCTATGGAGCTGAAGCGCAGCCCTCGAGTTCTTGGCGGGCTGCCCATGTGGCTTTTGAAGTTGCAAAGCTCTGGACACGCCTGCTTGAAAGCATTTTACGATGTTCTCCTCTAAGAAAGGCGAGTTCAAAGGCACGGCTCCTTGGCTGGTGTCAATCAGCTGAGCCCTGCCATGGCTGTACAGRGCTGGCAGCGCTCACATGGGCCCAGGGCTGGGACCACCCTGTCGAGRCAGCACTCCCGGCACTCCGCAAGCCATCACAGATGTGCCAAAGGAAACGTCGCCTTGCCCAGCTGAGGATGGATGYCCAGCCTTCAGGCCTTAGAAGCCAAGCAGTGGCTCCCAGCATTAGTAGCCAGGGCCCTGCAGAGCTCATTTTCTCSACAGGATTTGGGATTCAGAGGGCTGTCCCCAGGGAAGCAGAAGGCAAGGGTAGCTGTAGGTGGGAGAACCCCAAGCTTGTGAACGGGATGAAATTTAGTGCTGTGTCCCAAGGAGGCTTCAGTTCTAATTTAGCAGAGCTGTTGGGGTCCAGCTGGTCTGAGGGTCTTGTCCCTGCTCACAAGAAGGACTTCACACAGATTGCTCCATTGTAGCAGGAGCAGGGCAGGGACTGTCCCTGTCTGGCTGCAGGTGATGGGATGGTGGGRCAGCCTCAGCAGAGCTGTAGGTGACACATGCAAGATTTGAGTGGCAAGGGCTTGGAGAGAGCAGTGGAGGCAGGAGAGCAGTCCRTGAGTTTGGGCCCTGGCACACTGGGACACATTCTGGGCATTCCCTGGGCCTGGTGCACCCATGGCTCTGTGCCACACTGCTGTCACCTGCTCACAGGCACCACTGRGGTGGCCGTTCCTCCACCCTCATGGTTCCTCCATGCTGCATGCTGCATGTTCCTCCTCATTCCTCCTGCCTCTGGCCCCTGTTCCTCCTCATTCCTCCCCCTTACCATCCATCTCTTCCGCCTCTCTCTCTGCAGCTGCACATCACCAGCCAGACGCCCGCCAGGGAGGTGGTGAAGTTGGTGGTGCTGGAGATGAACAGCATTTCACGAGAYGTGCTGGGCTGCTCGGCCGCCATCTGCTATGGTGAGGAGCAGCTGGAGTGCTTTGGACTGGTGTTCGCCGCCGACGAGAGYGAGCAGTGGCTCCCGGATGAGTTCCTGCCTCTGTCCCTGCACAGCAGCCGGCCCGAGGGGCGGTTCTACGTGCGCATCAAGGAGACGTCCCCTCTGGTGCTCCAGTACGGGCCAGCCACCACTGTATGAGAGGAGGAGAGCCGCGGGACCATGCGGAGACCTCGGCTTCCAGAGAGCAGACAGCTCGTCTCTGATGCTTCCTTCTTCCACAGACACCCTCTCATCAGGCATCCRCGGGGTGGAATGGGATCATACTGGGCGGTGTGTTATTTGTGCTATTTTTTAATTTTTTTTTTTAACCAAAGAGACGTCGAGACTCAGTTTTTCTGAGTGGACAAGAGGAGGGTGGAGTGTGGAGACCTCAGAGYTCAGAAGGAATCTCTACAGGAATGGAATTTTTGAAAGTAAACATTTTAAGGAGAAAGAGTGGGGAGAGAGAGAGGAAAGTTATGACAAGAAGAAGCAGCAATACTTTTTTTCTCCCCTTTTTTTTCTGAAAAATCTTGTTTGGGATTCACTGAAGGCAAAGCCACAGAGGATTGCTGGGGAGGGCTGTGGTGTCAGTGAGGAGAGGGCAYGAGTCACAAGGACAATCCTGGTTTTCCTATCTGCCCTCCTTTCACTGCACCTGGAGAAATGATTCTTGCACATAGTTCTTGTAACAAAATTATATTATTTTTATTCTGCAAAAAGTCAACGATCCTTGTGCCAGAGCCACTGGAGGTGGTACAGGTGCAGACCCTTTGACGTGTGTCCGTGGCCCCCACGCAGCCAGCCCCCTGCACTTGCAGCCGTGCTGATACCACACTAGAGGTTTGCTATAGGGCATCTCCCGCAACTCCCTGGGCTTCTCCGTCCCCCTGGGTGMTGTTTTGTTCTGGTGATTGTGCTTCTCTTGTCTGTCTTACAGCATGACATTTTGTTAGCCCCTAGGTCTCCTGTTAACAAGGTTACTTTCCTGATCTCCCGTGGTCCATAGTAAAGGTGACTGCTGCTAACYGCATATCCCTTGTCCTTCTTGTGGCTCAGCGCGTGGCACTCGGTCATCCATCCCCCAAACCAGCCCTGATTCCAAGGGCTGCGCTCCTCTTTCCCAGGAATGTTTAGTGGGATRCTTTCCATGCTGTGAAGCGTTACCTTAACACACAAATCACACGTGTGGGAGTAAAGTACRAGTCAAAAATTCTCTTCTGCTCTTCATTTCTCTGTGAGGCAGTGAGATAAGCTTAGGCRAGCCAAGGCATCACTTCCACAGGGTGGCAGAACCCCAGGGCTGTGGGGCCCAGCGCCTTGGTGTGGTCCTGCAGCCTCCACTGAGGGAAGAACACCAGGAGAGGAGCAGGGCTGGCAGTGAGAGCACACAGCTGGGTCACAGCTGGCACAAACACCRCGGGCAAGGTGCCAGCCTGGCAGTCCTTGGCAAGGTGATGCTCCCGATGCCGATGCCCCTGCAGCAGCCACCTTGCTGCCCTTCTTGTGGCACAGAGGGGTCAGGGCTGGGCAGCAGCCCCCCTTGCTGGGTGCCAGGGTGCAGGAGGGGCTCTGTGGGCAGCCCCATGGGTTGGCTGTGGCTCGTTCCTCGCCTGGCAGCACACAGTGTAGCACGGGCAGGAGTACATCCCAGCACGAGCCCTTTTCCACCCCACGTCAGAGCCACTGCAGGGAGGGATGCTGTGCCAGCCCCTCAGCTGCTGCAAATCAACAGCACTGCATTGACGTCAGTGCAGGCATCGCCATGGGATGGGGAGGCGAGCTACAAAGGAACATCTTAAAAGGCACTTGTCCCATTTCCTCTCTCCTTTCCTTGTCTTCTGCCTCAACTTAAAACCAATCCCACTCTCCCAAGTCAAGGAAGAAGTGGGTTGGTGAGAGTGGAGTTTTCCATGGAGTTTGTTGTTGTTGTCCACAGGCATTGACATCCCAAAGAGGCAGGAGCTGCAGGTTGGCCCTTCCCTTCACACGTGTCACCTAATGATGCTCAGAACCTTGGGCAGGGCAGAGGGAAGGCTCAACTGATGGAAAACAAAGTGGCTTTTTGGAAGTCACAGAGTGAATTCATTGTTAGATCAGGGCTGTGTACGGAAAGCTACATCTGTGTCCCTGATGCTCCTCAGCATGGAACTGTGGAGCTCCTGGTGCCCTTTTATTTGACCCTAGAAGGGGAAAAGGCCTTCCCTTCCCTTAAGAATTTGGTCTCCCTTCCTAGGAGCCCTGCRCCATCGAGAGATGGAGCTGTGACCCAAAGCAGGGTGCTACTCTTTGGGGTGGAGCTGGGGCAGTCTCTGCAGCTTCGCCCTGCTGGGAGCTGGCTGCCCTCCTCTCTGCACCAAGCTCTGCCCCTGTAAGGGTCTCACTGGCCATGCAAAGTTTYCCTGCAAAGCAGGAGCTGCTCTGGCCACACAGCAGCCTGGATCACCTGGCTGCAGGGARCAGTGTGGGACCTCCTGCCCATGCCTGGAAGAGGAAGAGGGAAGGAGGGCCTGGGTAGGAGCAGAGTTGGATGCAGAGTTGGAAGGGCTGGAGCTGCACGGCTCTTGTGTGGGAAGCCCCACAAGCAGAGATGTGTGATGTCCTGATTCAGCACACTCCTCACAGAATCWCACAGAATAGCTGGGGTTGGAAGGCCCCTCTGGAGATCATCCAGTCCAACCCCCTGCCCAGGTAGAGTCATCCAGAGCAGGTGGCACAGGAACGTGTCCAGGTGAGTTTGGGATGTCTCCAGAGAGGGAAACTCCATGCCCTCCCTAGGCAACTGTTCCAGGGCTCTGCCACCCTCCATGGACAGAAGTTCTTCCTTGAGGTGGAATTTCATGTGTTTTAGTTTATGGCCATTACTCCATCTCCTGCTGCTGAGCACCCTTGAAAGGAGTCTAGCACCATCCTCTTGGCCCCTACCTTGGAAGTTTTTATATGGACTGATGCCATCCCCTCTCAGTATTCTCTTCTCCAGACTAACCAGGCCCAGCCCCCACAGTCTCTCCTCATAAGAGAGGTGCTCCAGACCCCTCACCATCATTTGGCCTCTACTGCACAACCTTCTTTTGTAGAATGGCACTTGCAGGGTGATTGTCTCCTTTCATATTCTCCTCTCCCTGGGTGGTTTCACAGGCACATGCCAATGTTTTCTTTCTGAGTAGCTTGTGAAGCCTCCAGGTGCTCTGCTGCCCTTGCCCACAGCCCAGGAATGGGAACAGAAAGCAGCAGGCTCTGACTGTGGCAGTTTTGAAGGCTGCCATCTTGATGCTGGGGCTGTTTGAGGCTTGAGCCACGGTGGAGGTTTGAGGTGGCGTGGAGAGGCAGCCAGGGAACTCACCCCCAGCAGCACCAGGATGCCGAGTTAGCCCTGGCAGGTCTTCTTGTGCTGGAGCAGAGGGTTGGTGAAGGGGTTTTCTTTGTGGGGACCTGGCACTCGCTCTGGCTTGTGCACCATGGCACAGGTGAGGGAGGAAAATCCCCAAAGCACCTGGACTCAGCCCTGCTCTCTCCCCTCATGAAGGCATCGTTTTGCTCACGGAACCCCTTTTCTCCAATATTTTAATGAGCAAAGCAGGTGAGAATCCAGGAGGACTGGGACACTGGCTGCACAGACCTGTGCCAGCCTGACAGACACAACTGTCCCTGCAGCAACCGTGTCCCCAGCACTGCTGCCATGGGCACTGCCAGCACCCAGGCACAGAGATACCTGTACTGTACCTGCACTCCCCTTTGTGTCATGCACCCACCTGAGCCCAGATGAGCCCCTTTAGTGCTCACCAACCCCTCTGCACTGGTGCCATAGAATAGAAAATCACTCTGAGATCAAGGAGTCCAACCATTAGCCAGCACTGCCAAGGCCACCAGTAAACAATGTCCTCACATCCATATATCTTTTAAATCTCTCCAAGGGTTGTGACTCCACCACAGCCCCGGGCAGCTGTGCCAGTACCTGGCCACCCTTTCTATGAAGAAATTTCCCCAAAATCCAATCTAAACCTCCCCTGGCACAACTTGAGGCTGTTCCCTCTCCTCCTGTCCCTGTTCCCTGGGAGCAGAGCCTGAACCTCCCCGGCTGCCCCCTCCTGTCAGGGAGTTGTGCAGAGCCACAGGGTCCCCCCAGAGCCTCCTTTGCTCCAGGCTGAGCTCCTTTCCCAGCTCCCTCAGCTGCTCCTGGGGCTCCAGACCCTTCCCCAGCTTTGTTCCCTACTCTGGATATACTCCAGCCTCTCAATATCTTTCCTGTATGGCAGGAGGCACCCAGAACTGATCCCAGGATTTGAGTTCTGGCCTCATCAGTGGCCACAGAGCACAGAGCCACTGTCACCACCTGGGTCCTGCTGGATTTGTTGACACCACCCCAACACCCTGCACTCACCATCCCTTCCTGGGTTYGGTACCAATGCTCCCTGGACAATCCCACATCCTGGAGATGTGCATCCTTAAAAATCCCACCTGAGCTGTAGTGGGGGTCGGTGTGAGCAGTGCCCCTCTGCAGGGTGGGAAGAAGGAGGGTCTGAAGGTAGTAGTGGGCACCACAGGGGGATGCATTTGCCAGCTTCCATTGGAGTCAGGGGACATTCTCCTCTTCCAGGTGCTGTGGAGTGGCAAGAGATGATGCTGCAGAACAATTCGTAGCTTTTGAGGGGTTTTTGTCTGTTTTTCATTGTCATTTCTGTCACTAATGACATTTAAATGCAGCTCAGTATGTTGGTTTTTGCTCCTGGGCACAGTGAAGCAATATGTGAACCTGTCTGGGCAGACAAACAGGTCTTCTCCCTTTACTTGGAGGTGGACCCAGGTCCAGAATCACAGCAGGGGAAAACCAGAGTACTTCCATGCAGCTTAATGGGAATGTGTTCATTTCCTTGGCTGAAGGAGCCATGCCYCAGGTATTCTGCTCACATCGTATGAATTCATAGAAACAAACCTGAATTGTGACACTGCATTTCCTCCCCAAAATCAGGAGCTTGTTGGCATCAGTTCTGAAGTATCTGATTTGCTTTTCTCCCATTCAAAGGGAGTTGCTCAGTTTATCTGACATGAATCCAGATTTGTGCTTCCCAAAGTTTGCTCTCTGAGTCTGAGACATGAGCGTGTTTTGTTTGGGGGTCTTTTTGTTTGTTTGTTTGTTTGTTTGATTGATTGATTGTTTGTTTTCTTTTTTATTTTCTCCTCACTTCTATTTATTAGGTTTTTTTTTTGCCTGGGACACTTTGTCTTTCCTTAGTTCTTGCAGGGGATGACTGAAGAGCTGCTGCAATGGCCAGAGGTGAGATGCTCCAAGGCTGCCCTGCTGAAGGCAGTGAAAGCCTTTCTCCCCTCACAAAGGAGGTGAGAACACCAGCAAGACTCATCCCAGCCATCCAAAAGAGCAGGGAAGTTCCAGAGCTGTCCCAGCACATGCAATTACTAAGTTAATKAGTCCCCTGTGATTTGTAGGAGCTCTGTGCCCCCCTGAGCAGTGGCAGGGGCTGTTTACCCCATGAACAGTGCTGCTGTGTAATTGAAGGGCGGTGTGCTCGGATTCTGCTGGTGAATCGCGGGGTCACAGGATGCTCACACTTAAATCCCTGCCCCGATGCCCATGGAGGATACAGCTCTGCTGAGCAAAACCCCGTTGGGCTGGGGCTCGTGTCCAGGAGCCTCTGCTCAGGATCCCAGKCCTCCTTGGCAAATCACACACTGGTCTGCTCTGTGCGCTGTGGGCAAAGCCACTTCCCATGTGGAAGCGGGCTGGACAGCACAGCTGGCAGACCAACACTGCAGTTTCCCAACCACAAAGACACTCGGGCTGGAGATGAGAGCCTGGGTAACATTAACACCATCAGAAAACTCCRGATGACTTTGGTGTGTCTAGGATTTTTTGACTTGAGGTTCTTCAAACCCATGTACAGATCAGGCAGAAAACAGCTCTTTCCATCCCAAGAAAATTCCTGGGACACAGGGAAATCTTCTGTTCCCAAAGCAACCTGAAAAATAAAATGTTGTGAAAACAGGAGCTGAGAATACAAAGAAACAAATTCATGAGGAAGCACTAGTGCATTATTTTATTTTATTYCCACTTAAAAAGGAAAAACAAACTGTATTTTTTTTTTAACCATACTCACTTTCATTTGGAAAGCCAAAGCACAGAAACAGATCAGTGACTATCTACAAGTCTATTCYAACTCAAGAATTTTGGAGGATACTTTCTGCTGAAATGAAGAATCCTTTATGAACATTTATATTACAGTTAAAATTGTATTTTTTGGTGGGCAGAAAAAAAGAAAAGTCCA